GGAAGATCTTACTAGGAAGGAGGAAGTTGCAGTACAAATGCATCAGGACAGGGTCCTGTGTGTGTGTGTGTGTGTGTGTGTGTGTGTGTGTGTGTGTTCTGGGGAGAGCAAGGATCTGGATTGTCCTGAGCAGAGTCAGAGAAGAAGTACAGCCATAAGCACAGCCAGTCACTTCAGATCTGGAGGTTGACGGAAGGAATCTTGCATTGAGTGAGGCAGTTTGGAGCAAAGACAGAGATGGTGCATCTTTTCAAAATATCACTCCAACTACTGAGCTAAGAACTGAGTTGAGACTGGAAGACTAGCAAGGCAGCAGGGAAACTGTGGGGACCCAGTCAGTCCTATGCTGGAGATATCATCACCTCACCTGGAGTATAAGCAGGGGAAATTGTGGAAGTGTTTGAAGGCTGCACATTTTTGAAGATGGAAGATGGACTTTACAGCACTTCCTAACCAACTTAACTGCAGTGTGAGAAAGAGGAAATAAGAACACCAAAAATTGTGACACTGTAATTAGAAAGATAAGAGTTGAGCTGAGGTGTTCAAACTGCTATACCAATAGCTGATGATCAGACTGTTCTCAGCAGACCCAAGGACTTGATGTAAATATTCATCTTTTGCTTGATTGGTGTCAGTCTGGGGCAAGGTGTGGTAGAGGTGTCCTTGCTCACTCTCACTTTCTATATGTGTCTTGTGAGTTGGTAACAAACATTTCAAAGTCTAAGGCTTAGTACACTTAGTACTAAGTACACTTAGTACACTTAGTACTCTTAGTACACTTTGAACTAGCATTACTCTAGACAGAATAGTATTTCAGCACCTTCCCTGGTGTTAGATCTACAGCAGGAAGGTATTAGTAATTCATGCTGATTCTATTTTCAGTAATGTAGTTTTAAGGCCACTTCATACGCTTAAATCAGTGGGAAAAAAAAAAGACATAAAATGGAAGACTCACCCCAAAGTACAGAAGTAAGAGAACAATTCCTTTTTTTTTTTTAAAGAGAACAATTCCTTATCTCAATATATTAATGTGGGCAGAAATTCATGTAGAAAATTGGCTCTTATTCCAAAGAATTTGTCCAATCTGGAAAAAGTTTTGATATTTCTTACATTCAAGGTATATTCCTGTGTCAGTTTTCTGTCAGTGTAACCTAATACCTCAGATAATTCAGTATAAAAAGGAAAGGTTGATTATGGCTCACAGTTTTGGAGGGTGAAGTCCATGACTGGCCCTGCCACTTCACACCTGTAATAAGGCAGCTCATTGTGTTGGGAGCACTGGACAGGGCAAAACCCTGGCAAAACGCTCTGTTCCTGTCCAGAAGGCAAAGGAGAAGAAGAAGGGGCAGGTGTTTTAACAGTGCCATTCTAGGGTACAATCCCCCGCAACCTCAGGAGGCCCCATCTCTGATCGATTTTATGGATTTTCTATAGCACAACCCAGGGACCAAGCCTCTAGCACATGGGCTTTGGGAACACTTGGCAATCATAATAAACACATAAGTGATGATCCTCAGAGATAGTTTAAGTAAGGAGTATAATGGGAGACATTCTGGATTTCTGTTAAATAATATGGGAAACAAAAAGGTTTATATTCTCTGAGCAAGAAATAAAAATATTTTGTCTCTCAGTCCTAAATTATTCTTTATATATTTACCTTATGTAAAAAAAAAAGTGAATAAACACAAATGTTTTGAGAATTCAAAATCACCACTATGCACACTGTTAGGTTTGTTGCCATGATTGGCTTTCAAATTTTGGGTCAAATAACTTTAAAACTTGATTTTGTTTCATAGATTTCCTAGATTGACTCAAAATTTGAAGGTGTGTATAAAAATAGTATTCCATATTCAACCAATGTATCAAACTATTTACACAATTCATTACAAAAGGATATTAGATGCTTAGAGCAGAAATCTGTAAGTACAAGTGGAAATGACAATAGGATCAAAAATAAGTAGAAACAACAGATAGTAGAGTGGCTCATAGATGTCCATAAGTGAATTAGGAAACAAAAAGTTAGTATCATAACCAGTATTATATATAAAGAAAAATAAGACAACCTTGAAAATGCCTGTAGAAGTAGGAAACTAACAATGACATGGCTATTCTCCAAAGACACCAAATTTAGTTATTAGTAAAATCATAACAGTTCATTGAATCCTGCTTTGAGTCATAAAGGAGTAAAAAACACTAGAAATTCATAAAGGCATATGAAAAGATAGAAGGACATTTAGACTTTGGACAAGTCTTAGAGATTGCAATTGCAGAGAAAGAGAATGAAATAGGAGAGGACTACAATTGTCCATCTTCCTTGCTGGATGCAGTTCACAGGGACACAGTGCAGGGAGGAAGAGCCCTATACAGCCCCAAAGGCCCAGGGAGGTGAGAAATTTGGAGAGATCACAACAGCAAGTATAGGCCAGATGAAGGCACATAGGGAAGGCTGCTGAAAATAACAGCACTGGAGGTCTAGAGGACACCTCTCATGTCCTCAGTCCTTCAGTACACACATAAAAACACGATCCAAGGACAGGGAAAGACAGTCTAAAAGCACCAGAGGAAACAATGGTACCTAAGGATACACAGGGCCAGAAAAAGTGTTTGTTCTCACTGTCCATTCGAAAGCCTCATAGTCTGCTGGATTTTGAACACAGTATTCAGAAGAGTCTGTGACCCTATCAGTGAATAATATGTGGCTTCAAAAAATAAAAATTACCAAGTATGTAATAAAAAGAAGAAAATGCAACACACCCACAGCAAAAAAAATACAGTTATTGTAAATGAATTACTCATGCTCAGAAGATTACATAAGAGTCATAAGTGGTAGACAAAGTCCATCATGATAGCACAGCTTGTAATTTCAGCTACTCAGGAGACTGAGGTAGGAGGATTGCAAGTTCAAGTGCAGCCTGAGAAACTTAGCAAGACCCTGTCTGAGTATAAAATAAAAAGATCTAGGGTTACAGTGCTCGCATAGCACGCACAAGGTCTTTGGTTTAATCCATAGTATCACAAAAATCAATCAATCATTAAATAAGAGAGGATATATAAAAGATTCCAATCAAATTTCCAAAGATGAAAGCATCTATGATGTGACGTGGGATTAATGATAAACCCTGCCTTGGACAATAAAAGATCAGTTGTTGCAGGGACAGACGAGGCAAAGCACCAAAGAGAGCAGGAAACAGTTTTATTTGGCTGCAGTCAGGTTCAGAGGATACAGCTTTTGCTGTAATCAATCAATCTGCTGAACCCTGAGTTTAGGTCATTTCAGAATTTTATACCCAGAGTGTAAGAGGAGGGGCTCAGAAGTTCACAGTCTGTAGAAGTTCACATAAAAACAGTTTTTTCTTTCACTGTTCTGGGCAAGTTAACCCGTCAAGGACAACACTTGAGAAGGGGAGAGCTTCTTCCCCCTTTCTTTCCTCCCACTGCCAGCTGATACCATGGAGCCCAATTGGGCTTTTATCTTAGAAATGAAGACATCTCTGAGAAGCTCAGCTCAAGGCCAGAGGCCTTGTTTACTTATTTCTACAAACTACTATACTGGATATGTGTTTGTGAAAAACTAGTAAGGGGGCATCCTGCACCTGCTGTGCTGATTTCTTCCTGGCCAGTGTCCAAGTAAGACAGGGCAACATGAAAATTGGAAGTTTATCTACATTGAACTCTTTTGTAGGGACTCTATTGATGACAGTCCTAAAGTCAGCCATCTCCAGGTAAAGATTTCTGGAGAAGCCCAGTTAGGACTTTTTTTGTGGTGATAGCGAGTGCCATTACACAGTGAGCTTGAAAACAAAGAAATAGAAAATTTTCAAAATTACACAGAGTAATTCTTAGAATATATTCTTGGGTTTATAACACATTCAGATATAGATTTAAATACAACAGCACAAAAAACAAAAAGGAAATATAGTTATTAAGAATCTCCATATCTTGCTGAAATTGTTAATATAATTTGAAGTAGTTTCTGAGACAGTATATCCTACCATAACCCACTAAAAAAATATAGTGACATTTAAAAAGAGAATTAACTATGAGAATTTCCATTACAGTACAAAATCAGGACTGCACTCCCACCACAGGCCACCACTCCCTCAGAGTGCACAGGCCTGGGAACAAGCCTGCCTCCAACTAGGACTCAAAGAGGGAGAACCTACTGCAATTTCAACAGACCAGGCTGTGGCTGCCTGGAGCCTGGGAGTCAGAGCTACCCAGTTGAGCCCTGGAGGTGTCTGGTTTCACAGGATGACAGCTGGAGAGACATTTGCTTCAAGATGAATTGTACCATGTTTTTGTCTGACTCATATCTAATTTAAATGACGTTCAGATGACAGTTTGGACATAAAATGTTAGAAATGATATTGGAATGAGTTAAGATTTTGGAAGTTTTGGATAGATGAATATATTCTGCATGCAACAAAGGTGGACAGAGGAATAGTGACAAGAAAAAGGTCTCTTGTTGTGGTCAAAGACAAGAGATACCCATAGTAGAAATTACCAACAAAAAAATAGGGATTATTCTTTGTAGAAACTGAGAAGCACAAAAATATGGGAGCAGAAGGTCAGGTTCAGGTCTCATCCTATGTTAACCCACTCCTAGTCCACAGTCCTAGAGACAGGACCATGATGATGCCTGAGTTCCTATCATCACAGGTCCTGGAGGGATGAGGTTCAACTGAAAGGACAAGGACTAAGGAGCAGGGGAGATGATCAAGCTGAGGAGTGACCACATCAAAGTCCTTGATGGACTAAGCCAAGACTCGGTGGCAACTTTCCCACCCTCAGCTCCATTCATCCTTACCTCGTCTCTACCTGCAGCAGAGTCAGCACAGCAAACACGTGCATTCTTGAATGTTTCAGGTTTTATTATACTTATTTATCTACTTTTTTAGAACGGGAATTGAAACCAGGGCACTGACCCCAGTCCTTTTTATATTTTACTTAGAGATAGGGACTCACTGAGTTGTGTAGGGCCTCACTAAGTTACTAAAGCTGGCTCTGAACTCGCTATCCTTCTGCCTCAGCCTCCTGAGCTGTTGGGATTACAGGCATGGACAACTATGCCCAGTTCACGTTTTCTTTTCTCTTAGAAACATTAGGAATTTTTCTTAAATTTAATTAACCAATTGACCATATATCCTGTCCCAAATTTGAAATACAAATCAATATCTACATTCTGTTTTTCAATAGGGAAGGGAAAGCTACAGTTCAGGGCAACATATAGCTAAATCAGGAATGGAGACATCCCAGACCCACATGCTACACAGGAAAACTGACTGGTCAGAGAACCTGGTCAGAGAACAGGACAGTATGGGGAGGCGTCTGTATGCTCCAGGTTGGTCTCTTCTCTCTATTTCCCTCACATTATGCTGAAAGGAGCACAGACATTAGACATAGTTAGATGCCAGTTGCACAAAGAGAAGTCAGGACTCCTTGAATTCCCAGTAGGGAACTGGAAGAAAACAGAAAAAAAAAAATCCTGTATTGCTTGCTCAGTGACACAGAAGGTAACTATCTCAGACTGTAAAAGAAAGTATTATGAACAAATTCAGATTAGTCAATAAGTGGAGACCCTCTGAACAATCCATTACACACTCAAAATTTTTAAATCCTATAACCCAGGAATCTCCTTATACCCCAACCCCTCTTCCTCTTCAGGCCTTCTAAGGTAGCTGCAAGCCTAGGGAGACCCAGGACTCCTGAGTTTGCACAGGAATGAGATTTCAGGCCTTCTGTGCTCAGACACGTGGCCACACGGGGGCGCCGTTGCACTGCCCTCCGAGGCTGCCAGAGCAGCTCTGGAGAGACCCAGCTTGTAGAAGGGCAGACAGAGATGGCTGATCTAGAGCCAGTGCATGGATGTGGGGATGAAGATGCTTCTAAGTTGTCTTTAAGGGCACAGGAGTTATAGGACGCTCCTACTAGGAATCACACCAATTTCTCAGATCTTCCCTCCAAAAGCCCTTTCTCCAGTTTCTGGATAATAACCTGGAAAACTGAAAGAAGTCAATATATATTCTACAAGCGGTTCCTTTCCCAACTATTCTTTTTTAAACACAGACTTTAGCGAGGCATGGTGCTGCATGCTTGTAATGACAGCTACTCTAGAAGCTGAAGTGGGAGTATTCCAAGTTTGAGCCCAGCCTGGGGAAGTTAGCAAGACCCTGTATCAAAATAAAAGGAAAAGGACTGGGGATATAAATCAGTGGTAGGGTCCCCTGGGTGCAATACCCCATACCATCAAAATATACTTTATTCTTGAATAATACCTTTAGATTTAGAAAAAGATAAAAGTAACACAGAGTTCCTGTGGATCACATACTCTTTTCCCAACTGTTAACATCTTACTTATAATCATGCACGTCACACTATTAAAGCAATATTGATAAATTATTATTCAACAGCATGTTTTATTTGGATTTCATTAGCTTTTATTGATGACCCTCTTCTGTTCCAGAATGTCATCCAGGACACCACACTGCATTTAGTTGCAATCTAGTCTCCTTAAGGCTCCTCTGGTATGACACTTTCTCAGATTTTCTTTTCTTTTGATGATCTTCATATTTTTGAGGAGTTCTGCTCAGGAATATAGCAGAATGATCCCTGATTTGAGTTGGGTTGGCTGGGTTGTGTATTTGAGGAGACCACAGAGATGAAATGCTACTCAATACAGCATGTGGACTATAGATGCATGTGGACTATAGATGCGAGACAATTTCTTGAGATTTTAAAATCATTCCTTTCTCTCAATTATTCTAGAATTCACATTTTTCAGTTGTTGAAAATCCTTCACTGATAGCCTATGCTCTTATAGTTCTTCTGTATTCCTTACAATTACTTTTCTAATGATACTACTTTTTTTTCCTGGTACTATTTTAATTGTCCAAATCATGTATATAATTATTCATTTCTGTGACCAGTTCTAAATTCTAAGAACTTCTTTTTGTTTTCTTTCTGGAAATACTTGTGCACGATTCCATTACCTGTTCACAAATACTATATCTTTTTACATGTTTTAGCAATTACTGAGAGTAGTGACAGTGAATCAAACAAAAAAGTTGGGACCAGTTGGGATCTCTCCACAGTTTATTCAGAGTAGTGGTTCTCAAAGTGTGATCTGTGGAACCCTTGAGGTGTTCAGACTATTGCATAGGATTCATATGATTAAAAATATTTTTATAATATCACTAAAACATTATTTACACCAAAGTAAAATTTGCCAAAGTGTAATCTCTGGCAAACTGCAATAGTAGTTATTGTATTCTTGAGCACCTTGTAACAGCAGAAAGGAAAATATGCCAGTTCACTCAAATATGTTTGGGCTTGAGTAGACCACAGAGATGAAATGCCACTCAATACAGCATGTTAAAAATCATTAACTGTATTAAGTTGCCATTCCAGAATTCACATTATAAAACCACTTAGCTAATAGAATGGGAAGTACACATGAATCATTTCTGCTGCATTAGAAAGTACAGTGTTTGTGTCAACAAAAGTCATGTGGAGAGTTGTACCAATAGCCCCATTTTTTGGAATACCATTCCTGCTTAAAGGAGTGACAGAGAAACTATTCTTCAGACTTCAATATTTGGCCAACATTCTAAAAAATGAACTGAGTATGTCCCTTCGAGATAATCCACAGACAGCAATTTCAATGATAAAATGTATGCCCTGAAGAGAAAATCACAATTTAGGAGAAACTGTATCCACCACTATCATCCCCACAGATTCCCAAGTACTTACACACTATCAGGTGAAATCTGTGGAAATATCAACATATAACCTCTTGATTTATTTGCATTTAAATAACACTAGGAGGTCTATAAAACTTGGTCAAACAGTGCATGGCTTTAAAAAATATGCATTTGCACAAAATCCATTCGATGTGCAAGACATGCTCATTGTGCAAGACTTAAATGCAAGAGAATATGAACTATTCAATAATAATGTTTCAGGGTCCCTATGGCAAAAAATCTTTAAGTAGCTAGCACTTTTGTCATTTTAGTGTAGTATCAAAGACAAATAATCACAGTTTTTGAAAACATTAATAAAAACATGCTTCCTACATGTTTCTGTGAGGCTGCATTTTTGGTTTCAACCAAAATCACAGATTAAATAAACAGAACTTTCAAAATTGTAAACAGTAAAATGATCCAGTCTTCTGCTTAAATTTTTTTGATTTCTCTTTGAAAGTATTGTTTCTGTTAACGTGTAATTAGTTATTTATACTCAAAAGAATAAAATTTCTTTAAAATAGAATTAATTTCTAATAGGGCAAATATTGATAGACATAATCCACAGAAACATGATTACCTCTGGAGTGCACACTACTTTCTAAGGCATATAAAGACCCTGAACCCAAAACGTTTGAGAACTGCTGATTTCTTGAGGCAGAAATTAAGGAATGATGTGACAAAGATTAGTATAAAGGAATGTTCAGGGCAAAGTCCCAGCCATGGCTGTGGGTCTCAGGGTCTAGAAATGGCTCTGGGGAATCGGCACAAAGCACTGGGGATTTCCTATCTCCGTGGAGTTTCATTTATCCTTCTCCCAACTGGGTCAGGTCTTTCTGCCCCGACACCCCTGACGCGGCCCCAGTTCTTGCTCCAATTGCATGTCCTGCTTCTAGAGAAGCCAATCAGCGTCACCGCGGTTCGGGTTTTAACGTCCCCACCCCCAAATCCCCGGGGATCCAGAATCTCTACAGAACCGCAGAATGAGGGTGATGGCGCCAGAACGCTGCTCCTGCAGCTGTCGGAGGCCCTGGCCCTGACAGAGACTTGGGCGGGTGAGTGCGGAGCGGGGAGGGAACTGGCCTCTGCGCGGGAGGAGCCAGGGGACCATCTTGTGAACTCACAGGACAAGGGAAAGCCGCGTCTCTGCTGCCTCCCTCCCAGCGCGGCTCTTCCTGAAACTCCACTCCCGCCCCTAAGTCCTGCCCTCCCACAGCGTCCCGTGTCCCACCGCCCCCTTTGCATATCTCAATCCCACTCCTCTCCTCCTTCACCCTGGGACCTGGGGTCAGCCACCCGCAGGAGAGTGCGCAGGTCTCAGCCGCTCCCGCCCCGGAGGCTCCCACTCTTTGAGCTACTTCGAGATCTCCGTGTCCCGACCGGACCGCGGGGAGTCCCGGTACTTGGAGGTGGGCTACGTGGACGACACGCAGTTCGTGCGCTTCGACAGCGACGCCACGACACCGAAGATGGAGCCGCGGGCGCCGTGGATAGAGCCGGAGGGGCCGGGGTATTGGGAGGAGGAGACACAGAGAGCCCAGAGCTACGTGTAGAGCTACCAAGTGAACCTGATCACCCTGCTAGCCTACTACAACCAGAGCAAGGGTGGTGAGTGACCCCAGGCCCGCTTAGGAGGTCGCAATCCCTGAGGTCCCTCACGGGGACCTCTTCTGGGATTCACCAGGCCAGTTCGCCCCTAGGCTGAGAGACCTGCGGAGACATTCCACCCAGAAAGCGCCCTGGGAACTGTGACCGGTTTCTTTCTGGTTTAGGGGAAGCAACCCTCCGGGTGGGTGGGCGGGGCTGGGACGAGGCTGACCGTGGGGCGGGGACAGGCTCTCAAAGCATCCGGAGGCTGTATGGCTGCGAAGTGGAGACCAGGGGATGCCTCCTCCTCGGGTTCAGTCAGATAGCCTATGATGGCTCTGATTACATCTCTCTGAACCACGACCTGCGCTCCTGGATCACGGCGAACGTGGCGGCTCAGATCACCCAGTGCAAGTGGGAGGCGACAGGTTTTGTGGAGGGCTGTAGGGTCTACCTGGAGGGCACTTGTGTGGAGTAGATCACCAGATATCTGAAGAATGGGAACAAGGACCTGCAGCGAGTAGGACAACTGCTTGATCTCCTGTAGATCTCTCAGCCAGCTTTCTGAAAGGAGGGGAGAAGAATGGCACTCACTTAGAACATGGCCCTGTTCCTCCTCCAGAGGGAAATGAGGGGCCCTTGATTCCCAGGTGCTGTACTGGAAAGGAACTGAAGGCCGTTTTTTCTCAGGACAAGTAAGGGATCCAGTCTCTCCCTGGCTGGTGGGAAAGGCAATAAATAACTCATCACTGTTCCCTGGCAGCAGCCTTGGCATCACCAAGGGACTTTCTATCAGATGTTTGTCTCAGCTCCAGCTTAGGGTCTTTGGAGGTCTGACTCCAGCTTTTCCACATCTCTCATCCTCTATCTAGATCAGAACCTGAGGTCCTGCTCAGACACCTGAAGCCTCTTACACTGGGTTGTCTCAACCCCCTTCTAGAACTTTCTGAGGTATAGGAGATTATGCCAGAAATCCAGGTCCAGGCTTCTGTTTAGGTTTTGTGCTCCCTCCACCAATCCAATCCTGTTGTCATTTCTGGGTGGACACGCTGAGTGCTGCTTCAGTAGCCCAGGACAGGTAATGCAATAATGTCTGAATTTCTGTGTTCTTCCTCTCAGACTCTCCAAAGACACATGTGACTCACCACACTAGCCTTAAAGGGGATGTCGCTCTTAGGAGCTGGGCTCTACCCTAAGGAGATCACCCTGACTTGGCAGCGGGATGGGGAGGACCAGACCCAGGACATGGAACTTGTGGAGACAAGGCCTTCAGGGGATGGAAACTTCCAGAAATGGGCAGCTGTGGTGGTGCCTGCTGGAGAGGAGCAGAGATAACCATGCCATGTGCACCATGAGGGGCTGCCTGAGCCCCTCACCCTGAGATGAGGTAAGGAGGGGGTGAGGGCACAGAGCCTGTTGTCAGGAAAGCAGGAGGCTTTCTGGAGACCCTCTGCAGGGTAGGGACTGAGAGCTGGGGATCAGGGCCCCTCCCCTAACTTCCCTTCCTCTCCCAGAGCCACCCTCTCAGCCCACCTATCTCCATCATGGGAATTGTTGCTGGTGTGGTTCTCCTTGGAGCTGTTGTCACTGGAGCTGTGGTAGCCTTTGTCTTGTGGAAGAAGAAAAACACAGGTAGGGAAAGTGCAGGGTCTGAATTTTTGTTCCACTGGTGGTTTCAAGTACGTTTCAAGTAGAAATGTGCCCTGCCTTGGTAATGGGAAGAAATATCTACATAAACATGCCTGCCCGAACCTTAAAGAGAGAGATAGAAGAAGATCTCAGAAGATGGAAAAATGTACCCTGTTCATGGATAGGCAGAACTAACATCATCAAAATGGCGATA